TCCTGGCGCCCGCGCTGTAATTCATCGCTCGCAGCCGTGAGCACCAAGAGCGGCACGAAGCGCGTTCCTGCCACCGAACAGAGCCGAGCCGTAAGCGCGCGGGTACAACGCGCCAGTCTTCTGATAACGCTTTCAGATTGCAACGTGTCTCAAACATTTTCTGTTGAGGCTTCTCCACGCCAGACACATGGACCGGAGCTGGAGTGGCTCAGTTAGCAATCTACAGCAACAGCGAGCGTTGTGGGCATCCAGCTGCAAACAGCAGCAACGTGCACAAACGTGCCGGGGGGAAGCCCAGAGGAGAGAGGCAGCCCAGCCAGCCCCAGAACGCTCCAAGAGCCGGGTGGCAACAACCCACGGTGGGCTCTCCCTGCCAGCGCTGCCGAACGCAGCCCAGCCCTGCCACGCTGCCGCGCTGAAGCAAGCGCAGGTCTGAAGAAACCGGGCAGCAAGAGCCTCCTCCGGCTCGCTGCATCGCTGCGGTCCCCAGACCGGTGGGGCTGGAGGAGCCCGGCGGCGACACTTCGGCACCCCGGCCTCGGGAGCGGCCGCAGACCTCTGAATGAGCCTCCGCAGAGCCATGCCAGCGGGAGGGCACTTACAGCGGCACTGCCAGACGCCGCGGCACGGCCGGGGAAACTCAAACGGGCTCGCCCCTGCGAGCGCTCACGGAGCACGGGGCCGGAAAGCCAGGCACGTGACCTGTGGTTTAGGTGCACTTACATAAATCTCTCCCAGCAGATCACCAGGGCGCTCGGTGCCTGTTGTGCTCATGGGAGAGTTAAGAATTAGGCTTGGCAGTTGAAGAAATCTGCTTAATTTTTCCATTCCCGCACAAAACAACTCTCATCAAACAGCTGCTTCTCTCCACAATGATTTGTCCTCAAAGCACTGCTTGCTCCAGACGCCTGCCTGAACTCAGCTTGTTCGTCCTCTCACCTGCTCAGCATCCCCTGCACTGCTCAGGCTGCCATTCGGCAAGGACAGCAACATCACGCTTTCTTCGGACAGCGGTGTCAGTGCCTGACTTTCCAGCCACGGGGAGCGAAGCGAGGACTGAAGCCCGC